AGTATCTCATACGCACATCATCTCATTAGCACTTGTGTTTGTCGAATCCGTTCGCTTCGGACGGCTCCGGGTCTGTTCCCACGCCCAAGCAGTTAGCCTTCACTTCAGGGAGTATGCAACACGCACCTGTGTGTTCCTGGTTTTTGCAAGGTGACAAGTTTCCTGGAATCGTAAAGCCTCTCTGATAAAATATCTAGGTATCTTTATCAGGGTGTCTAGTATTTTTTAATTTTGAAAATTCCTGTTATTTTCCTGATTTTTCTCGTAAAAACTATATTCATTGCATAAATGCATGCGGAAACTACATTTTCTGACAAAGTGAGAAAAATTCCTGATAAAACGTCCGATTTTTCCGATTTTCCTGACATTTTCCTGATTTTTTCCTGATCGGCCAAAATTCCTGATAAAACGTCCGATTTTTCCGATTTTCCTGATCGGCCAAAATTCCTGATATTTTCCAGTTGTTCCGGTTTTTCCTGATGCTAGACACCTTGTTTATGCAAACGCCCCAAACGTTTCAAGATATTTTCCCAAAATAGATCGGTTGTATCGAGGATATACAAACCTATGAATGGAATATCGTGTGATAAGTTGTCACATGCGCACATCATCTCATCAGCACAATAGGGTTCGTCGTATCGGTACGCTCAGTCGCACAGTGGATCGAGTCAATAGAAGAGGTCGAACAAAACTTGGAAACTTTAAGCGCTCATAACTCTGTTTAAATAAAACTTTGATGTTCTGAAAGTTGTTCCATTAGTTTTCTCGTGAAATTGTCTTCAAGGAGCACTCCTTTAAGGTTTAAAATGTAGCGATATAAACATAAAAAATTGCAGTTTTAGTCAAAAATTTCATGTCTGAGCTCTCTAATTGACTCGATCCACTGTGCGTCGAGACAGCTTCGGGGGTCTATTGACACGCTCCTGCCCATTCGCCTTAACTTATAGGAGTATGCAACGCGCACTTCTGCAGTTTTGAATCGTGCAAGATGACAAGTTTTCTGGAATTTTTCAAATTCCAAGAATTTTTGCCAATCTTTCGAAGTTCTTGAAAAAACTGCCCCGAATTTTCAAGTTTTAGGCCATTATGAACCGGTGGCCTTTATGAAATACATTTGTTTAGATGAATAGGCTTCTAAAAGGTATATGGACCAAAATATATAACAAAACTACCTATTATTTCAGCTCATTGTTGTTGCTAACAAATAAGCACCTACCTACAAAATGGAATTAATGTTGTTTCTATAACGAAACAGAAGGAATCCAAAATGTAGTCCAAATCGCACAAAAATAACGATAAGCGTATCAGAAAAGTCAGAAATCGATTCCTAAACGCACCGATGGGTGGCAATTTTTCTTTGTCACACATGATTCGGTTTGCAAAAATAGAACTATTAGAAAACGTATACTGTAAATATACAAACAATCTTGCGTTCGCGTTTTTGCGCATGAGTGCAAGTCTTTTGCAGTTTTGCAACATTGCCATGGACTATGTTTATACAGTCCGCGTAATTCGACAACTGCGCAGATTCCCCAGAGAAAATTAATACAATCCTTCAAACGGAGCGAATATCCATAAAAAAATTTTTCGGCCGATCATTAAAAAAAAAAAATTATCCACAGAAATTTGAAAAGTTTCAATGCACTCCTGTCTTAGGGAAAAAATCGATTGAGCTAAAAAAAATGTATGAGTCGTGGTTTGGTTGAGAATAGAGAGGACTACACACGGTGACATTACCGCGACCCACTCCAGCACCATTGCGCTACTATGCTAAAACAGAGCCCCGAAAAAAAATTCGAGGTTGCTGAAGTTCTTACGAAAATACAGATTTTTCTTGTTGACGTACGCATATTTTTAAATACATTTTCCGCAGTATGGTAGCCTTAAGTGCGATTCCATGTGTTCAGTCATTTTAGCGCTATCTCTCTCTAACACGTGGAGTCAATGAGCGACATTCGTTATAGTAGTTTCAGGCATATATTTACAATAATTCTTCACAAATTTAAAGTCATTCTACTCAGAATTAATGCTGCTATGCGCTAGGGATCAGTTTCTTGCATTATCTTGAACTTTACGATAATTATTGCTCCTCAAAGACACAAAACGCATGGCAGCGCAACGTAGAGGCGAAGCTCGTCCCTAGATCACATATAGAATTCCGTTAATTCAATCCTGCGTCATTAAAAATTAAGAGAGTAATTAAATAAATTTTAAAAAAAAACGTAGTTTATCTAAAAATTGAACATTTTGCGCTCAGAATTTCTGCAGTATTCTCTCACTATATCGACACTCGTCAAAACGAAAATCTCTCTTTTGCGAAGGTCTCTTTAGCCCGGTCCCTTGAACGATTTTCTTGCTATAACTACACTCATTATAGTGAAAATCTCTCTTTTGCGAAGGGTTCGCCCGGTCATTTGAACGATTTTCTCGCTATAACTACACTTATTTTAATGAAAATCTCTCTTTTGCAAAGAAATCGCCTGGTCTCTTGAACGATTTTCTCGCTATAACTACTTTCATTATAATGAAAATCTCTCTTTTGCGAAGGAATCGCCCAGTCCCTTGAACGATTTTCTCGCCATAACTACACTCATTATAATGAAAATCTCTCTTTTGCGAAGGAATCGCCCGATCCCTTGCCGATTCGTTATAGCGAGGGCGTACTGAACATCCTTCGAGGGCCCAAACGGCGTTTTTGCCAGAGCGGGCCAGGCTGGCGTGCGGGCGGAAAAGCTGGACGCCTCCAGACTTGACAACCTACCGACCGGTGTCTTCCACCGTGTTGACTTCAGAATTTGCAGGAAGAACTAATGCCGCCGCCCGTGCCCACTTACTTAATGAATTCAATTTGCTGTCCTGCAGATGACATAAGTTTGCAAGCACCCCCCTCCCCTCGCCTGCCCCCTTGCCCTCACGCCCGAACCCCGGGCCAGCGACACGCCACACAGTGGATCGAATCAATAAGAGAGGTTGGACAAAATTTGTGAACTTCAAAAGCTTATAACATCGTTAAATCAAAACTTTGAGACCTTAGAAGTGCTTCCATCGGTTTCCTCGTGAAATTTTCCTCAAATAGCACCCCCTTGAACTTTAAGATGTAGCGAATTGAACATCAAAATTCGCAGTTTTTGTCGTGTGTTTCATGTCCGACTTCTCTAATTGACTGGATCCACTGTGCGCCAGCGCGGTAAGGTTAACTCGATTGACGCCGCGCCCATGTCGCCTCGGGGACCCCGTTTTTCGAGCCCAGACTCCCGGTTTGCTATTCACGGTCGAAAGGTCGTTTTCGAGTGTCATAAAGCACCCACCCTGGTGACGTCATTGACCCAACGGCTGACCCGTTGTTTGTGCGATAGAATTTTCCCCCGCGGCAACACTGCCTCGTCGGGAAGTTTCCCGGGCTCCCGTAAGTGAGTTAGGGGTCGATGGTTGCCAGACGCACTAGTGAATACAGTTCGTATCGATTTTCAAAATCGATTTATCGGTTATTGATCTGGAGTGAATTCAATGTGAGAATATGTGAAACGGTCCAAAAATGGATAAGGCCCCCACCGATAACTTAGCGAATAAGTTAAAAATATTAAAAATTGGTTTAATCACTTAGATTAGTCAAAAATATTGTGAAAAATAATTTGGAGTAAAATAAAATGAAATTATTTAATTCAATATAAAAATCGATTACTCGGTTATTGATCTAGAGGGCCTATATTGTGAGATTATGTGAAACGGTAAAAAAAAATGGACAAGGCCCCCACCGATGCCTCTGTAAATAAATTAAAAATATTAAAAATTAGTTAAATTAGTTACACATTTTATAAAAAAGGATTTAGAAGTACTTTAACCCTTTGTTGCATGAGCTAATCGTTGATTTTGGAGAGAAAATCTACATAATACAGTATTTTTTCGACTCTAGAGTCGGTTGGAATCGATTTTTATGGTTTTTTTCTAAGCAAGGAGATCAGACATATATTGTTCCCCAAAAATTATTTCTTGCTTTGATTCAATTTAATACTCCAGCATAGAAATAAAGCTGAAAACCATTTGTTGCTTTCATGCAACAAAATGAAATTACTTAATTAAAAAAGAAAAATACACGAAAGAGCGATTATAAAATGAACAGTGTACAAATGGATAAACTAGATATAGAACTTCGTACCAAGTAAATTTTACGCTCATAGGTCCATTTGATTAAATTCATTTGCACAGGAATTTTTTGTATTGACGCAATATATGGACGGCCCCTAATCGATTCTTCGCGGCATGTTTGGATTTGTCTTTGACGTCAACCAATCACCAGAAGAAGTCCTCTAAGTCCGGAAGAAATAGTCGAATTTTTAAAGTGAGCCGGCAAAGGTGTATTAAACTTGTCTTCGTGGCTCAAGTTGTAAAAATGTGTCACGATCTTTAAACGAATAAATACAAGAAACTGTGACGACAGAAAGTTTCTCCGCGTTACACTAAGGTGACCATCTCTCACGGTGGTGTACCTAGAACTTTTCTGTTAATGGAAGGGAAGGGATAGTCAAAGGTGGAATGTATTCTAAAATTGGAGAAAATTCCTTTTAACTTCGTAGCAAGAATTTCTGGTTATTTTTCGCGGAGGTGCGGTGATGGACGGAGTCCCAAAACGTAAAAATGCAAGAGTGAGAAAAACATTGCCTAAAAGTGCAAAAGAAGTTTCGAGACTCACCCCAAAATTGCAAATACTTAGTAACTAGTGATACTGCGACTTTAAAGTGACAAATCGGCTTTTTCTCTCTATCTGTCTCCCCCACTCTCTGTTCCACAATTCGATTTTTACGTCAAAATAACGTAACATTAGAGCAACGATTCTTGCATTTCATAAAATCGCCCCCGTTCCCCATATTCCGATTCATCGAAAAGCTTTTGAAACATATCGGAAACATAGCGTGGAGGTCGGCGTTGGCATGCATTGACGGCGGCCGCCCCACAGCGGACAAAACTTATATCTATACATGGAGGACGTGGGAATGACTCACCGACTGTTATCATATCGCCGTGGTCGGTGACGGTCTCAAAGGCGGGCGCCTCGCCGGAAACTTCGCATCTGTAGCGGCCGGTCGAGCTCAAATCCAGATCCGTCAGCAGCACTTGGCTGGCACTTGAATTTCCGGTCTGCAACAGGAAATAATGCACCGAGTGGTTAGTGTCTGAGTGTCTAGAGCGCCATCTAGATCTCCGCCTCGCTCGTCCACTCTAACGTCCTGAGGAGGAAGACGTGTGAACATTGGGCGTTGTCAATTTTCCCCGATAGAATATTTATTTTTGATGAAAGTCGGGAATATCGACTATACAAAATTGATATATACAATACGAATATAAACAAAATTGGACGTATTTCTACCAAACAGACTTATGTGCAAGTGAGAAATATGGGGTGTGCTCGTTCGTTCTCTTTGCGAAAGAGTGAATGAGAATAATTGTGCGCCAGTGACGTCATTGGAGGAGGACGCCGCGTCACGTTCCTCGTGGTTGCGGTAGTCGTGCTCATTAACTCATGAGCCCTGTCCACAACGCTCTCTTGCCATGCCCGCGGCTCATGAGTTCCGCATTCAGTGCAATATCCCGCTTTGCCAATTCTTCAAAAGGAACCATGCCCACTTTTACATTGCTTCTTATGCAGCTTCCACGAGCACACCCCACATTTCTCATCGCCACATAGGTCTCTTTGGTAGAAATACGTCCAATTGATCGTACATGGCAAAATCACCACCTTTGTTTTCTACTGAGTTCAAAGCTTGTTTTGGCAACACAGAGTTAAAAACTGGACATTTCATACCATTGGAAAATGCTAATATTTTAAAGTTCGATGGTTAAAAAAGCGACTCCAACCTTTTTATTGTTGGAGGCACAATCATGGCAACTGGTGATATACTGATAGATACCAATTTCAGTTGCTTTTTAAACCGAGGAACTTCAAAATATTATCACTTCATATGGTAATAATGTCAACGTTGTTTTACCGAAACGAGCAATGGTGAAAACGACACATATTGTACCATCGAAAAATGGTAATATTTTGAAGCTCTTTGGTTAAAAAAGCACCTTCGACCGTTAAATTTTTGAGGTACAAAAATAGCAACTGATGATACTGATAGAGATCGATCTGAGTTATTTTTCAACCGAGGAACTTCGAAATATTGGCATTATTCGATAGTAAAAATGTCAACTTTGTAACACTGTGTTACCAAAACGAGCTTTCACTGGTGGATTACCTCATCACAAGGTATCGTTTCCGCCATATTTTAACAAAAGCCCCGAGTTCCCATAAAAGGGAACGTAAAACAGCCCTTCTTTGGACAGGCTATTTTCAGATACTGTAGATTAAATTGCGGATTAAATTTTCTGACAGGCCGAGAGAAAAAAACTTGCAGGTTTCCCAGAAAATTAGTATTTTCTAAAAGGAAAGTTGGCAACATCCATGTTTATACGACGTTCTTCCTGAACATGGTAGCAGTGTGGGTGTGCTTATGAATTGAGTTCAAGAGAATATACACTTCACTGGCGAGGCGTGAATGGGCGATTATCGATATTTCCCCCATTTGAAGCTATGGTAAAGAATCGATTATTCATGAAGTGTTCGTCGCGAACGTCTTGTCAATCGATCCTTTTCTATAGATTTTTAGGGCAGATCAATCGATACATCGCAAAGCACGCCACGCTACTAATACATTTGTGATCGTCCGCACGGGAAAAATGACCGTAGTCCATAATATCTTAAAAGTGAGTTTTTGATCATTGGCGAGGTGTGCACGATCGATTATCGATATTTCCCCATTTGAAGCGATGGTAAAAGATCAATTATTAAGGTGTTCGTTGTGAAAACCCTATTTATCGATCCTTTTCCATCAGTTCAAATGGCAGATCAATCGATATAGCGAAAAACAGACCACGCCACTGGTTCGAATGGTCAAATGTTTTGTTAAATTTCAGTTTGAGAGATAAAAATTATATTAAGAAATTTTCCGTTGTGCATATAATTATTGATGACAATCTTTCGGTCTCTGGAATTTTTAGGATAATAGAACATCGATTAAGTACAAGAAAATGAATGCAAATAATTACAACGTGGAAATAAAGCAATAAGGAGAAGGACATGCGTCGATGACGGCGCAGAGATACAACTATTCGTGCTTGATGGATGTCCGTGTGGCATCTGCGAGATTGAAGGCGCGATGGCGCGAGGCGTGAACTCGCAATACTCCGTTCCATTCTGCCAGTAAGGTGTCGCTCGGATTTGGAGAAACGTTTTTCATCAAAATCATGTGTTAAAAACGTTTCTCACGACGGAGATTTCAGATATAGACGAGACTTAAGTATATATTAACACGTGTTTTTAACGCAGATCAAATTGCGCTTTGGACCTTCGATGAGCAAAAAATCGCATGAAGTTAGATTATACGAGTGACATCATTAGCTTGTTAGCCGTCCAACCAAAATCAGTTTTAAAACAATGTCAACTTAAAATGGGACTAAAGCAGCAAAATAAAACATAAAATAAAATACAATTTTCCGGCCCTAGTACCAATTTAAGTCGATTTTGTATTATCGGTTTGGACCGATTACGTTGATTTTTTCTTAAGCATGTCAGTCTCAAACATACATACCTTGTTTATGAGTTTATTTTCAGACTTTCTATTGTTCCATTAGTTTTTTCTTTAAAAATGTAAAGGGAAAATATGTTTCAATTCATACCTTTCCTAGAGCCTCACTTCGAATCATGAAGCAGGTAATTTGCGGTCGCTCCTCTGACGTAAGGGCGTATCTCTACGTCCGAATGAGCCCCAGAAATCATGAATTTATATGTAAGACAGGGCTCACTAGGAAATTGCAATACGCCCTTACGTCATACAGGCGACGACTTATTGCCGCGAAACAGCTATATTAAATGGACCGCGTTAAACAGAAAGGAACCAAGCCACATCAGCTACTGCTACATTTCATCGGACAAGTTAATTTTTTTCATGAAAACGGTTGTGCGGATTTTCGTGCAAATTTCAGTGAAAATTCACCGTAGTTTGAAGCAAATTCCTTAAAAATTTCAAAGGAATCCGCACAATCGATCTCTCGTAAAAAATTGAATTGCCCCATTAAATTTGGCAATAGCTGATGTGGCTTGGTTCATTTCTGTTAAACTCGGTCCAAATTTGGGTTGGACCGCGTAGGGGCCATGGGGACAGGGACACCCTAGTGAAGAGAACACCGTTATGACGCGGACTCTCATTTGGAAACGAAGCGAAACGAACAAGAGGAAAAAAACCTGTGCGGGCGGACGAGAAAATTAGAGAATAAACGAGGCTTCGTGAAAAAAGAGGCTTATGACTTGAAAGGACAATTTATTCGGAGAGGGACAGAGGCGAAATTAAATTATTCCGGTGAGAGTTGCTAATGATGGGGTAAGCGCACGCATTAAGCTCCGTTGCCGTTCCCGGCTCGTCGCCCCGCTCAAATTCGCTGAAATTCCGCCCGAATTAAACGCCGCCTCCCGAAAAAAAGCACACCTTTGTTTGGCTAAACTTTGAAGTTGAGAGGCCGGGCCAGGCGCGACCGGCGCTACGGCCGAATTTAATGGCCCGCCTCTGATTGCTCGGATTAAAGTATTTGAGATGCCTCCTCTTCGCGCTGGCGGTGGTGGTGTGGGGGAGGGGGGTGTTGGGTTCTACAAATAGCCCCAAGTCATGAAGGATTTTCGAAAATCTCCTCTCAATGACCGTAACGGAGCCTCCATTAGTCAAATGACTCCTTGAGACACTCGGGGTTTCGGCGTATTTTTAAGGCGATCTTCTTGAGTATCTCATTACATATTTATTTATTTACTGTTTTGGTTCAACATGCTTGTCAATAGACTCCCCAAAATTTACATCTTAATTATCATTACAGAAATCATTTAAAGAAGAGGCCATTCCAGCTAGCAAGGTGTTTAGGCCCTTCAGAAAAACAGACATATTCCCCATTTGTCAATACTCTTCTCAAGTTCAAGGGAGGTATATCGAGGGTCTAAGTTCGAAACTATATGTCTCCGAATGCAACTTTGCAGACTTTTAGTCATACTTCAGTTTTTCTTTGGAAAACTAGTCTCATGCCTCAAATACGTCTAAATATCTGAGAATTTCAAGGAAAAATATGAAAAAATGTTGCAAAAAATAAATATTTTAACAGGAGGGCCTTGGCAAGATTTGGATACACATACGGGGTTTTTCCGAAGTAGCGAAGAGCTCGACAGTGATTAAGCCGAGCTCTCCGGGTCCCGAACTCATTCGAATTCGACAGATGAGCGGGGATGCAGAGCACCGTGAGGGGGACGGAGGGGGGGGTTGGGGGTTGCGCGAGGTCAAAGCTCGGAGCGGGGGCACCGTCTGCTCGGGCGCTCGTTTTGATGCGAGTTTAAAAGTGTTTGCGAAAGCAGCGATTTTTATCCCAACTTCCGCCGAGCGGAGGAGGACAAGTCCGCCGGATTCAATTATTCACGCTAAACTTGCCCTCAAGAAACCCGTGTTTTATTCACTCCGGGAGTTGTCCTCCTTGCACCCGCCCGACGGCGCCCGGGGGGTGGAAAGGGAGGGGGGAGGCCGCTCGAGAACGGCCGGTGGATCGGGAAACGCGAACGACGCTCGATGGATATTAGAATGTGCCCCCCCCGTGCGAGGGGTTCCCGACTGGTATCGTGCGGGGGCGGACTGTTACTCGCGACGACGTACGATACGTCGACGGTGGGACTGGAAAAACTCCGTATCCCGACTTGCGACGTTGCATATTGGCGGGGTGTCTACTAAACCTGGCTGACATAAAATCAGGACCGCTCCACACTGTTAAAAAGAGTGAAAGTCTGTGCCTAAGTGCCACAAGTTTTTGCGGAAAGGTACGTATATTTGTCCTTGAAATTTTCAGATATGTTAGATTATACTGCGAACAAAATCATCTGAAAAAATTGAAGAACGAAACATACAATTTTCTCAGTTACTTCATTTTTTATTAAGGGAATTGGAGCAACGTCGGAAGGCTCGTGCGACGTCCGTCCTTACATGCCTGTATTGACGACTTATTTTTTTCTTTACTCAAAGATGGCTTAATTTCAAAACGACCTCGTCACCCAAAATCACCGAATATAAAATTGG